CTCTAAGAGACTTCTGCTGCTTCATTCCAATCCTTTTTGTCTATAAAAATGCCAAAAATGTATTGGTACTTCATAATATGATTTTGGTCTTTTCTGCCAGATAGATGTTCATGTATTATGTTATAGGTTTTAAGTTCTCTGACTGTTCCTATGGGAGAGACGACCTGTGTATGCTTGTGAAATGTTGCTTCCTCATTTCCACCAAGTCAATCACTTCAAAATATGATTTAATCTTCTCAGAAGGTCATCTTAAACTTAGCTTAGTACAGCAGCTTAGTACACCATGTATTTCCATGCAGTATCCTGAAACACTGGCTATTATAAATAAAGTACTGTGATCTCAATTAAGAGTGAGATATCTGTGTTTCCTGTATTAGATATTACTATAGAGAAAGAGGAAAAGATCTTGTATTGGACAGTAAAAATCTCACCATAGCTGTTGAAACAGGATCTGACATGAAACAAATAGTTCACTAAGTCTGGATTCATTTCTAATGCCAAGTTGCCTTTTTTGTGGCTACCTTCTTCTACAGTGCAAAAACATGAGGCATGAATTGGAAAAGAAATGTCTCCCAAACACACCACTAGACTGAAGACATTACAACTACAGTATGTGGGGAGGCAGTCATTCATCTGGACAGCAAAGGATACCGGCAGAATGAGCAGGGGTAACTAAGAAACCTGGCTTGAACTCTTTAGAACATCTAACTTACTGCAATCCACCCATTATGAATGAATATGTGATCTTTCAGGTGGGTCTTCTTTTTGTCTCTTCACAGTGTGACAGTGGTGAGAAGAGCCTTTCAGCAGGGAGGGCAGTGTATGTTTTTTTCTGCAGATTTCAGCACCGGTATTTCTGCCATCAGTTACAGCTTTTTGAATGCAAATAACCAACCTCATCTTCCATCAAACAGCTACTTTGTGAGAAGCAGGATTACTCTAATTAATCCCAATATGGGTCAGGATCATTTCCAAGAGCACCAAGTCCAGATATTTGCTGCTGCTGCTGCTTACACCAGCAGTCTCTAAATCAGCACTCACAAAGCTACAGGCTGCAATTGCAACCCAAATGTGATGCAACCAGTTTAAAACTGCAAAATGTTTCCTAACTTCTCAAGTAGCTTGAGATGGCATCGACATGGGCTCACATCTGTATGAATCAAACTGTGATTGCAAGGAGCTATGAAGAGAAGCCTTTACTGCAGTGCAGTTGCCCTGTATGCACTGAGGATGATTGGCCACAGGCAACAAGATCAGATGGCTCTGAATAGGAAGTCCTGAACGTCAAGTCCTAAACACTGGAAGCAAGAGATCTGACTGAGATACTCTGGCGAGATATGAAAGGCAAATGGACTTGCTGTGCTTCTGCTTCGATCAGATCGTTTTGGTGATAGCCACTGGTACACACAAGGATCCAAAAAGCTTTTTGTTTAACTCTGGTGCAAGGAATTGTAAGCAACAATACAAGATAAATATTTAAAAATAAACGCAAGGTCTTCTTCCCAGCCTGCACAGGGTTATGGTCTAAGATTTTGCAGGAACATTTTGCAGTGCCCAACATAACAGCATGATTTGGCTGGAGCTGTAGCAAGCCAGCGTTCTCATGGAGCTGCACCAGTTATACATACTAACCTCCTCCTCCTCCTATCATCACCCACTTTCCATGGACGTGCCACTGATGTAACTCAAGACTTTCCTGAGAGTCATGAGAGATGGAAAACAACAAGCAAAGATTGCCTTACTTGGAAATAAAATTCATCCTTGGATAGCTGCAGTGGAGACTGGAAAGTTTACAGGCTCCCTGGGGTATCTCAGAAGGTACAGCGGAGGATAAGGAAATTTTTTCAGAGCTTTCTGTCAGCATCCAGCACCTTGGCAAAACATACTTACTAAGGACTCCAAAAAACTAAAAATGGCTAGGAAGGGGAGCCCAAAGACTATACACCAGCTTTGCTATTAATTCAACCACTCAAAGAAATTCTAAGCTCACTATGTAAACAACTTAAAGTCATTAAAGTTTGTGAAGACAGACTTTTTTCTGAACAAGGACTACTGAAATTGGCACTGTGGGCTTCTGTGTGGTGTATATCACTGGCTCCAGATCCAACTTGTTCAATCTACAATGAATGATACTTGCTTTCTAATTCCCAGCTTTGTGGTTGAAGCTGGAGGGCTTTCCAGTTTATGTATTATCTTGATTTTTATTTTTAATGTAAAGGCTCTTCAGAACCTATTAGAACCTTAATTATACAAGCTATTCTTCAGTAAGATAGACATTAATACCAGATTAGATGGTGGTAAACAGTTCTCTAAATCCTGCTTCAAAAGAAACAGAATCCAGTTTTTTTTAAGCTGTGCTGATTTTATAAGGCTTAATGGCAGCACACAAAGTGATAAACCTTACTTGTCACTAAACTGATTTGGCTCTGAATACACACAAGGAATAGATCAGCTAAGGTATCACTCCTGTAGGCATTTAGGTTACAGCTGCATTTTCTATGTAAAGATTTTAATTTTTAGAAGGTAAATTTAATCTTACAAATGAACTTCACAGATAAGAGTTTAGTCTTTCTGACAATAGCAATGCCCGTTCCCCTGCTAAGATGGGTGGAAACATAAAATATTCCACCCCAACGTGCATTTCAACTTTATTATGAGCCAAGTTATTTCTTCTATTGTGAAACAGAAGAACTGTTGGCAGCAGTTTTCTAGTTTGCACAGGTAGGGTTGGTACAGCAACTGTTACATCGTTTGGATATTGGCAGCTCCTATGACACACCTTGGCTGTTCAAACATTAACTTGTTTTTCAATGCCAATGGCTGTATGCAAATCACTTCTAAGATTGATGATCACTGCTAGCAGAAGATGAGATAACATTTAAAGGACTAGACAAATTTGTCTTGCTGTTAATTATAACATTCGGTGGTTTATAGTGGGTGAAAAGACATTCCTCATTCCCACCAGAGCTTTCAGATGGCTGAGCATCTGATTGGCTCTCCCTGCTCCAGTGTTAACTCTTTTTGCTAAAATGACATTCTGTGCTCACACTCAGAATACAGAACAACGTGGAGGTCAAAAACCCCACAGTTTTACAGTTCTTCATGCACTATTTGCTATTACTGGATGAACATTGTGTCAACTTCAAGGGGGGTTTCTGATTCTCGGAATCACAGAGGACAACTTGCCAAAAATAGGCTAAGTGCTTGCATCATTCCCTTTCACTCCCCTGTCTAAATCATGGGTTCCTGCACATGGAACAGCTCTTCACTCATATGAGAGGCTGGAGTTCAGCATGATGCAGTCACCACTGCTTATGCTGTTTGTGATTACACCAAGAGGTGTGTGATTTAAAGGAAGCAGCTCCGTTAAACCCCTATAAGCCATTCTTTCTCTTCTCTCCCTTTCTCTGTGTTGTCTATGCTGTAGCTGCCACAAAACAGTCTCCCTGATGGCCTTCACCTTGTCCTCTTTGTCCCTTGTTGGATTGCTGCTGACATTATGACAGCTGGAGGGCCTGCATGAACTGTGAGCGAGCAGTGATGCCCTCTGCCTAAAGGATGCAGAGTACTGGCTGGTTATCTCTGTAGCTCAATTAACTTGCAAGCAATCAGCAGAACTGGAATTTTAGTATTTTTGTATGATGTGAATGCCAGATCCAGGTAAGAAACAAAGTGTTGAGGAAGAAGAGGTATTTGCTGTCTGATGCCTTCAAGAAGCTGAAGGTTTGCCTACAACTGAAATGAGTCACAAGGAGATCAGGAAAGTCAAATAAGAAATCAAACAAGCTCCTTTCAGAGCGAAGGAAAAGCTCCCAGCAAAGCTGCAACTTAAGGGAAAGAGACCATCTGAAATACGGGAAACAGGCCAAATTTTGCCTCAGTTACACATGCATAAACCTAATACTACCTCCACCATGACAACTTCCCTTTATGGTTACAGACTCCACAACAACTCCAGAACAACTTTCTTCAGTTTACGAAGAGGTGGCATGGCAGTTGCAGGTGGAGAGCAGTAGTAGCTGATCACTTCCTCATCATTTTGTCTTCCCTTTCACAGAGATATCTGAATTCAACCTTGGTACCAGAATGGAAATCTAGAGAGAACAGAGTTCTCTCATACAGAATCTACACAAGATATAAGACAAAAACTTCTCTCATAGCATGTGGGTATTCCCACTATTGTATTTGGAGGAATGAGTAGGGGCACAGGTAATGAAAGAAAGAACCCAGTACATGCGTATTCACAGGGGAAGGAAGCCTAGGGGCAAGTTAACCAAAATTCGCATGACCCCAAGTAAGTTGAGCTGCAAGTTTTGCAGGAAACTTTTTTCTTAAACCTAGCAAAATTCCAGATCTTCAGTAGGTTCACTGCTCTTCCAGTGAGAGACATAACATTCTTCCCCGAGATCAGAGTGGAATTATGACAATTTACACTAGCTAAGTGTCTGTCAGATAATATGCAGTGTGTGTTGTGGAGGATTTAAAAGGGTCATACCCCAAGGATATCTGGGGAAGAAGGGGTTGGATGCAAAATAGAATTAAATAATGTCGCATTCCTGTCTCAATAAACAGCAGGAATCCAAGGGAGACAGCAGCTAGCAGGGCAGCATTCAGCTTCAGAGCAGAAAAGGGACTCAAGAATCATGAATCAACGGCAGCAAGTAAAGAAAAGAGTAAAAAAAATCAGGAAAGAAAAGAAAATCACTGGCCTGGGTTACAGTGAGGGAGGGAATCTCATGTTTGTGCTATGAAGGGGAAAGCTGTGGTGGAGCCTGTGCATCTGTGCATGGATGGGGAGGAACAGAAAAAGGGGTATATGCTTGAGTCCTCCAGGTGAGTGAAAGACATAGTGGGCTGTTACAGTGTGGGCAGTCTTGAAAAGAGCGGGGGAGAGCAGGGATAGGGAAGGGGAAGAGGTGGAAGGGACAGGACGGCGCATTATTATGTTGCTCAGCAGGGGCTGGGGAAGGTGAAAAGGCAGAAGGGAAGGAAGTTCTTACCACATTTGGAAAGTCTGCCAGTCATCAACTCCATACAGTTAGTGGTGTCTGGATCATAGAACGGAAAGAGGAGGGGGGGAGGAAAAACATAAAAAAAGGTTTCCACACCTCTGTGCATAAAGTAGTAACTTAGCACATTATTACCTGAAGCAGGAAACATATACACATCTTGGTCTTTACATAACCCAGGCCAAATTCTGCCACCCACTATATGCCAGTGTAAATCTGGCCCTGTGACTGAGAGTGGATGCTGCTTCAATCCCGCTGCCTCCACTCACCCCTTTATCATAGCTACAGGTATCTATGACGTGGGAAATATTCTGCCACCATATAGCAAACTAAAAGCCTTGAATACAGTGTTTCACCTGGCTAGCTTTGAAAGTTAGCCTGCAACAGTCACAAAATGTTCAATCGGCTGATATATCTACATAAAAAACCTGGAGAGAGGGAAGAAATACGGCACTGTGCTATTGCACATGGAATGAGGTTACTTGTACAGCTCAAAAACATCTTTTAGACCCCAAAGGATAATGTCAAAGTTCCAACCTAACTCTGTCTCTCTTATTCAAGTGTAGTCTCTTACTCCTCTTGCTTTCTAGGTCACTATTTAAAGGCAGTAGAAGTACTTCTGGAAAGGGTGGCAGAATCTGGTCCGAAGACACTACTGTCCACTTCGTGTATAGCTCCCATTACCACAGCCTCTGGGTGCTTCCTATGGGGTGTGATAAGCAAAAGGAGCTCTACATGTCAGCTTTAAAACAGAAAGGACCAGCCCAGCTGGACACTTCCATGTGGAAGCTGCTGGCAAGCCAGATCTGCTGCTGTCAGCCAGGATTCCCTTGCACTTGGGATCTAAATCATTGCGTTCATGGGCAATTCACTGCTGAGCAAGAGGCTACCAGTTAAAGCACTAAGCTCAGTCTCCGATCTCCTCTTGCCTGGGATCCTGATGAACACTTGGGTATTTAAGAAATATCCTTCTCAGAAACACGCACACATATGCTGAAAATCCATAACTGCCAGGAGGCTTTAACTACCCCCTGTTTGCTCTAAAGTCTGCAGGACAGAGGGAAAGATAATTTCTCAGCATTCCTCCCCTTAAATATTGAGAAAAGTAATTTCATAAGAGCAGGAAGGGGTGTTGGATATGCTTGGGTAAGCTGAACCCATGCTAGAAGAGCATCTTTTCTGATGCAGCCAGGCCTGTGCTGTGTGGATCATTTACAAAATCATGGAGCAGAGAGGGCAAGTGCTTGGTCCAGTCACACTGGTCAAAGCATCTAAGCAGCAGTTATATGCTCTCCATCCCCAAGGCTGAAGGTGGGCTGGCAGAGGTCAGTGGGAGATGATACCCATGGAATTTCTCTCAGAAAGGCACAAGATTGAGAGAAAGGGAGAAAAGGGTGGAGGTGAAGGAGAAGAGAGCATTCAAGAACTGGAACAACGTATCAGAGGTGTCAGAGAGGCCTGGAGTTTACCTGCCTTTGAAATTCTTTGGCTAGTCTGGCAGAGTGAAGACAGACTAATCTCCCAAAATATATTTCTCCCTGAAGATGCCTAGCAGATCTGAGAAGTGCCTGATTGGGTCAGTGACCCAAAGTCACATTCACAGGTTTGGATCATTTTTTTTCTTTAATAACTTGGAGAAGTTTGTTGTCTCATGCCTTTCAGTGGTTCCTGTCCAGTCCCCTCATAGTCAACTACACTCTGCTGTAATGCAGTGTGATGCAGATCTATAGTGGTAGAGCTCAGAGCATTCACCCAATCATTAGCAGAACTTAGCTTTGAAATAACACGTAAGAGCAAAGAAAGTCTCAAATAGAGAAAAAAAGACTGTTTCTGACTCCACCCTCCAACACCTGGAATTTTCCCCTCAAGTGTATCCACACTAACTGGCCACTCAGTAACTAGCAGTCTGGAAACAAAAAAGGTCACATTTGGATAATATCGGAGCAGGTAAACATTGCAGCTAGTTACTAAGAGTCTCCTGAAACTGGTATTTCTGTTTCATTCTTAATTTAGTTAATACTGTCTTTTTTTCTAAGTCATTTGCAGTCAGCATAGGTCTCTTTAGTATTTAAAGCTAATTGTGTAACAGATCTACAAACATTCATTGTGTGATCAGAATACAAACTGACAGATCTACACAGGAGAAAAGGACTGTAACAGAGGCTTTTTGGCAGCATAACATCTTGGGCTCTGTACTCCATTTTATTCCTAAAAACATAAATTTGCATGGTATGGTATTACTTTCGATGGATAGGGAATTTTTTTTTAAAACATGAGATCATGGAAAAATCAAAGGAACACTAATGAAACCCCTACCTTGTCTTTCTTAAAACTTTAATGCACATATTCATACACAATGCATAATTCGCATTCTCTGTATTGCCATGGCTAGTCCCAGGAACTGCATAGGAATTAATTTTTATTTGTAATGTCTTTCCAAGACCTGATCAGACTGTTTTTCCCCAATTCCTAAGGCGCAGTCAGCATGGGCACACAAGGACCAGTAGCTCATATTGCATTACTTAAAAGACTAACAGTGTTAATGTGCCTTCAGCTTCTCTTTTATAATAATTACTTTAATACTTCTTTCATTTCCATCATATTGTAACATCTGCTTTAGTAAATACTCTACATGATAAAGTATTCCATCATTTTCAAGTAGAAATTTCATTCTAATTAGAAAGTCTTAGATTCTTGGCAGTCAGCTTCTGCTCATAGATACTAATCCACAACCCAGTGACTGTGGGATCCAGGTGTCATGTGAAAGGAATAAAGTCAGGGTCCAAAGGCTTTTAACTGTCTGAGAAACGTTGATGGGTCATGTAACTGCATTTTTCATGTGTCCTCTTTAATTTTTTAATTAAAGCATAGTAGCAGTGTCAGATCTCAATCCTTCTGATGATAAGGGAATTCCTTATTTCATAGAAATTGCTGGCAGTCCTTCACACTTTGGATTTGACCAAGACTCTTTTATATATGACATCCAGTTCAACTCATTAACAGATGGCAAATATTTTGGTTAAAATAAGGCTTTCCTTCAAAAGGTCAAACAAGTTCTGAATCCATTAAAAATTGCCAGTGTTCTGTTGAATTTTCTTTCACAATTTTCTTTATTCTTTAATTTCTGCATTTCTATCCCACATAAATTTCACAATGAAGTCATCTAGTTTATGATGCTTCTGATATCTCTGATTCTGAGACTTGTCCCAGCCCAGGAAATCTCACCCAAACAGCTGCTCCTCTGAGATCTCCAAATCCAGGGCTAGATCCCAGAAAGCACTGAGCAGCTCCTGCCAGATGCTCACAGTCCCCAATAAACAGGGAGGGAGATGATGTCAAGGGAGCCACCAGTTCCTCTGGTCCAAGGCAGTTATCATTCAGATTGAAATTCCCCAGTGTTAGTGTGCTTATTTGAAATTCTCTGTTCTCTTATCAAAACCCTGGAGAGTCTAGACTTTTTTCTACATGCTTGATTTCAGAACTACCAGTAAGTATTTCAGATAAGTTTAATGAAGGCTGTTCAGTAATAATACTAAGGCTGTTCAGCAAAAAAACAGGGCTCTGCCAATCCAACTAGGCATTAGAGGGCACCTCTTGTAGGTGGGAACCATGATAGCAAGATGAAGTAATTACTCCAGACACTACAGGAGTGGTAAGACATAAAGAGTCACACAAGATTGCAGGAAACAAGAGAAACTTGGGACCTGGATGAACCCCAGAAAAATTGACTTGTGATCCAGTTTCAAAATGGCTCTTGAAGAGTCCTTGTTTTGAGTCTGTAGCTGGAAATTCACCTTGCAAAGCACTTCATTTGCTCCTTATTCCCTTTTAAGTCTTGATGATAAAATCCTTTGCACATTTGGAAACTGAGTTTCTCACTAATTTTTTTGTAGCAATTTAGCCTACAGCTCTTGTGAGCCATAAAATACCCAGAAATCACAAATCAGTGTTCTATCGAGAATTTGCACTGCTCTATTTTGAAGCTAGATATGGTCTCTAAACACTTGTTTATGCTGATGAAAGGCACTTCCAGCAGTAATACTGAGATGCTCTGAGCTTTGAGATGTCAATGGTTAAAATCTGATATGAAGCCAATAAATACAATAAGGAAAGAGAAAACCTTTCCCAAAGAAGTTATAAAGGTTATTTCAGCATAGCTGATTGCCCAGAACATGGGAAAATGGAAAAAAAATAAGAATATGCAGCACCCCACACTTAAAATCAAAGCTCAAAGAAACAAGGAAGTATTAGGGAAATAAAAATTGATACACTGTGAATGATCACAGATGGCTTTTGCATGTCCCTATTCACCAGCTGTTACTATTACTCTTTTGTGCAAAGGCATCAGAGAAAAACAGATTATGATTTAATGGAAAGAGTGCTGGGCTGAAACAAAGGCACAAATCTGAAATATCTTCCTCCATGGAGAGAGATCTTTTTATCCCAGCAAAGGGCAGTTTGCCCAGGGATTACCTAAGTAGTTATACCTGAGTATAAGACTCCTGGATGGAGCTATACATGGATGAGAGATGAGGTTGGCTGCTCTCACAGACAGTGAGATTCACTCTTGATGCAAAAGGGACTGTCCTTTCATGGTCTTGCTGGGCTTAGTGGCTTTTGATACCAGTAACAAGTATACAAGGGCAGCTGTTCTGGTTTAGACCAAGGGCCAAAACCATCCAGTGCTCCGTCTACATCAGCAGCCACAAAGACACGCAAGAGTGTAACAGCGGGCCAAGCAGATACTTCCTAACACTGCCTTGCTCACCACTATCAGGTCAGAGATTTCCTGAGCCTGCTGCTGTTTGTCTGTTGAGCAATTCCATAAAGATTTTTCTGCCAGGGATTTGTCTAGCCTCCCTGGGAGTAAGAAGTACTCAGGGGAAGATGAGCATCTGCAAGCTCCTCACATGCAGAACCTGCTTCAGCGAAGAGTTCCACAGGTCTTAGATTATGTGAAGAGATGCTTTCCAATATTTTTTTTGGTACTTGACTTCCACTACTTGCATATGATGGTCTCTAGTTCTTTCATTGGAAGAGAAAATGAACAATTGATCCCTATTTACTTGTAACTCATGCCAGTCATGAGTTATAGACCTGGTACTGTCTCAGCAATCATAGCACAGAGGTCCTTAAACCTTAGATTAGAAAGCTGATATGTTGCACTAAATTTGACCAACTAAGCAGTGGCTTTTAGAAGTACTACATTAACTTTTGGAATGGATTTCATTTATTTACACATTTATTCAGGTAAGGGAGGGAATCTATTTTCCTGCTTCAGAGTATGCCAGAAGGAATATGCACAGCCAGTCTTAGAAAGGAAAAATGGAAGTGAATGAAGGGATATATGGAGGAAGGGAGATTATCAGGTGCTCAAGTATGACACAGAAACACATCTGCCTAGATCAGGTACATAACAGGCTCACACACACACACACACACACAGATGCATGGGCAACATGACATCTACAAACACTGTTGAGAGCTGGAGGAAATGAAAAAGAGGGAAGTGCATTCTGAAACCCAGGCAAGCCGGCTCAGTGGGCTGGCATACTGCATAGCAGATCAAAGAGGGGCAGGAGAGAGAATGACTGTCAGTGACATATGCTTATTAGGCCTTGCTATTCTGCTTTATACTGAGTTCATTGAATCTTCCCCTTTTGCAGGTCTCACTTTATATGCATGCGCCTTTCACAGCTGGTTTTCATCATCCCACCTGTAATGGCATCTGAACTAAAAGTCAGGAGAAACAACTACAGAGGAGATGTCTGTGTACAATGAGCTGGGAAAATATCCAGTGCTGGACAGTATTGTTGGTTAGAGACAGCAATACACTCAGAGCCACGGAGGAGGCAAGTCCAAGTGAACTGTGAGCTCATTCTGTTGCAGCGCTGGACTGCCTACAGAGTATCCTCAAACCATGAACCTCAACAGGAGCCCAACCACCACAATTTCTGTGAGCTGTTCAGAGCTGGGCATGTGGGAGGGTAAGAGAAACAGAGAAGACTTTGCCTCGTTTTTAGTGAGAAAAGTTGATTAATTCCATGACAATTTCTAGGAAGCTCTTGCACACATCTTTCCAACTACAGACAGCCAGCTAAGCAAGGTGCTGAATGCAAACTCTGCTGTCCTTTATCCCTTTTTTCTTCTCCTTACTCTCACTGACTGGGGATGTGAACCATAGGGCCTCTTTACTTTGATGCATGGGTTGTCTCTTTTTGGTAACAATCCTTTTATTTCCCCTCCCTTCCTTTTCTCTTCTCCTTGTACTCCGCTCCAATCTAAGATTTTCAGGTTGACTTCTCTCATTTTCAAGAGACTTGCATACTCCTGACCAGGTCAGGTGATGCGGTACAGAACAGTTTGGCACCCTGTCTCATGAGCTGTCTTGCCTGGTTAACTTCCCACCCAAGGGAATTCTCATTTTTAAATTTCAAGAGACTATTAATTTTGGTTTTGCTCCATGTGGAGTCACCTATTTCACTCTGGCTTTAGAGATCAGGCTGGGTTTTCCCCACTAGAACAACATATTCTCAGGTTGTTTTCAGCAGTAGAAATCATGTGATTTTTCCATTCCAGAACCAGAGCAAAACTATAAGTCAGATACATTTTTCACAGCACAGTTTGCCCATAACATCTCCCTGAACTTTAATCAGTTGAATGGTTTTTATTCCTGCTATAATATGACTTTCTTAGGGAGATATCCTGCCTCACATGCAAGTGTGCAACAGGGTTCAAGTCTTTCCAGAGAGCTGCAGTAGCTAGGACATATTAGGGTGAAGAAGTTAAGAGAGATCCTCAAGTAATTTACTTTTAAAACAATTTTTTCCTCACAGGAAAGTAAGAGTACACTTCCTTCTCTAAGAAATAAGGAATGCTTGAATATTGTTCACATATCAGGAGTAATATGAAATACACTTACAGGATGCTTTTCTATCTAATTCCCCTCACCCCCACTTAACCCCAGCATTTCCCAAGAGGAAGAGCTGGCAGAAAATTCTGGCTGCTTCCTTGAGTTTGATTTAATTTCTGAAGTCCAGACAGCAAAAACCTCAATCAACCATAGTTGTAGTGTCCTCATCTTCCCTGTTTCCGAACAGAATAACCCATGTGCTGGGCACCACTGCAATCCAGCATGCAGAAGGTCAGGCAGTGCTGGAGGCCAAAAGTAAAGTGGACACTGAACTGAGCATACTTCTCTGTCAGGTACTAAGCATACACACTTCTAGATGGAGTTATTTTATCTTCAGCTGCCAAAGCCACACTGTTAGACCAGAAGGATGTAACCCATATGTGCAATGAGCCAAGGACATCTGGGATTTAATTGCAGGATGCAATGCCAACCTAACTCCCACACTTTTGTCTTGGCTTGTTCACACAAAGGTCAAGCACAGAATTTGGCTCTAAAGTATAATATTTATTTACTTCCTTTTCATCTCCCACTCCTCCTGACTCTTTCTCTCCTTCCTCCAGCTTCTGCTCTCTACCTTGCTCCTATTTATTCCCTGTATCTGCACATTCTTTCTGCTTCTCCCTATTTTTCCTTCCTTGAAGCATTCCCAATAGCTCATCTGCTTTAAGTTTTCAATTTTCACCTTCTTCTTTGTTCTGTCCTTTCAAAGGAGAGAAGAATTAACACTGATATTTTTTGTGTGTGCAAGCACTACTGTTCAGAGTGAACACTTGCTACATGATGGTGGGATGAAGCCAGTTTCTGTATTATCAATTCAGGCTGCCTGCACATTCAGATTGATATCACTGCACAGGGTAACACACATAAGGATTTCTCTACCACCATGAGGAATTGAAATTTACTTTTCAAATAGGTAAAATATAGCTTTTGCAGAACCTTAGTGTATAATTTGTGCTACCACAGTATTGAGCCAAGAATTTGATCACACTACTGGAAACTATTAACCACCTTCTGACCATTTGTTAATGGCTAGGTTCAAAGTAGCTCTCAACTTTGTTCTGAGACCCTCTGAAGCTGGAGGTTTCTAAAGCATGCCTGAGGGGTTTGAAACTCAGGTATCTTCTAGAGCATGTCCCTATTCTGGGATATTTTGGAGCTGGAGAAAATCTGGAAGGTCTACTGATGATGTAGCTTTTGATGGAGAAGTGGGCAAATGGCTCTTTGGGCGGGCGGAGGGCAGAAGCTGTTCAACTGGGGAATGCACTGGGAGCACTGGAGTGGGAATGAGAAAGGGAGGAGTAGGGTGGGTGCAGGGAGTTACTGCTCTGTCCGAATGGAGCTCGTTTATTGCTGTGATCAGAGGGATGGCCTCCCTCAGCCTCCTGGTACCGAGAGGCATTTCACCTTCCTGTCCCTGCTGAAGCAAGGTGCTCGACAGTAGAAACTACTTACCTGATAACTGCTGCACTGAAGGCTGGTCATGTGTGCTTAACAACTGTGCCTGAATGGTTTCTACTACCCTCTTAAAGCGACGGCTTGGACCTGTGAGGAGAGAAGAGGCACAAATGGCTGTGAGAGGAATGGGAGTCCATATACAACCCAGGCTGGAGGGGAAGCATCACAAGTATCTTCCCGTCAGTCTTGTCCCCAGGAGTGTACTGACAGTGTCTCTGTCCTTCAGCCAAAGGGACTGTGGTGTGCTGAACTCAACAGGAGGAAGAATGGCTTCTGGGCTCCTTTTGTGAAGGCATAAAAGGTGTGTGGGGGGTTGTTTGTTTTAAACCCTGGGGGGGACATGTGGCCACCCAGAAGAAAAAGGTGAGTGAATGTTTCTGTCAGAAGGAAGAAACTAGTGGCCTCACAATGCCCTGCTGAGACTCTGAGACTTTTGAGTGAAACACGGAGACAGTACCATGAGATATTCCAGATCTGATGTACAGAGCAGCCATTTTAGCACTAATCGTGGAAGTGGTAACTTCACCTTTTGGGAATCTCTTTCCCTGCCTGCCACTTCCATCGCTACCAACACTATTTTTGTTCCAAATGCCCTCCTTTCCCCTGTCTGAATTTTCCCCCTGAGGCTAAGACAGTTATATTCTTTCCTCTGACAGAGCAATTTGCAGGCCTCTATTGTCAGCAAGGACAAAGCCAGCTTGCACCCATTTTAGAGCTTTGCCATGGTTACCTGATAAGAGTGTGAAAGTGACAGAATAGATCCCGTTCTCCTTTTGCGCCTCTCCCCCTTCTGTGTACGTTATGTCCACCTGGAACTTCACTGGCTTCTGGAAGACAGCAGGACCTCCCGTGGACTTATATTCTGCACGGAAACTTGTCTGTGAGATGACACTGTGACTGAGACTTGGAATCTGAAACAGGTTGGTAGAAGAAGGTAGTAGAACTAGTGCACAAAGTGAAAAATTTGCAAAATTCTACTTATAACAACACACATTTCCAGAGTGGATAACATTTGCTAGATCTGCTTCTGGTCTTGAATTCATAAAGTACAGTGTTCTTGTGAAATCAGTAAGACTGTAGATTGCTTGGCACCACAGAAGAATGCACTGCTGCTTACAGGACTGATCCAAATTTAAAGGTTGAATATTGGCGGAATACCCATCATGCTTATAAATGTACACATGTTGCTCAACTTCATACACTCAGTTTTCCTTTTCCTACTCATCTGCCAGTTTTGAGAAATGCCTTTTTCCTGAGTAAAAACTACTATTAAGAGAGTGGGTAGTAAATTGGTGGGATATAAAAAGCACTCAAGTGGCCTGGTCTGATCTCACAGCTGATCCTGTTTTGAGCAGGAGACCTCCTGAAGACCTTTCCAACCTCTAACTGCTTGGTGATTGATGTCAAACAGACATCAGGACACAGAGCAGACACTTAGACAAGCACCTGAGATATCCACAGGGAAAGTATACCTGCAAATAACTCACCCAAACCATAACTCCTACCAATATGTAAAAGAACTCTGAGAAACTTCATTGTATCATGCAATATCTGTATCTTCAGACTCATGGTGGAATTTCATAACTGCCTAACTTTCAAGCAGTTACCATTCGCGTTTTCTGCCAAAATGTAACATACTCATATTCTATTTACTGCTTCATAAAGGAACAGATTAAAAAAAAATCAAATTTGGAAATCTGGTCTCTAATTTAGAAGGAAAAGCAAAGATGAGTTCTTTGAGAAGCTGACTTTAAGGACTTAATTGCAGGTTGTGACAGTGCATTTAAGTTTGAAGGTTGCTGAAAGAGACGATTCACTGGTTTTGCACACAAATCACTACATCACACCTAAACCCAGACATGTGGGATACACACAGAATCACCACTACAGACAGCAGTGCATGCTATGCCCACAATATAAACCCAGAAGCACAGCTAAATGCATGAAACTGATACGGTAACGTGGCTGCTTCACATCAATCTGAGATGGACACCAGTGTCTGATGCACGCTGCTATACTGCATTTACTCCTTGTACGCTTGTATAGTTACAAGGGTTACGGATGGTTTTTTGGAAGAAATTCATTGCATCATGATCCTCTGTGTTTGTTACAATAAATAAAACACTGTTCTGGTGTCACCCTGGGGGGGTTCACACCTTGTGGTGCCTCTGTGTGTGTGTGGGGGGAGGGGGTGTCCCAGGGCCGTTTTGGGAGGGTGGCAGAAAACCCAGACTGGATTTCTGCCAGAGTACGGAATGGGGGAAAATGGGAACTGGATTTTTTCTGGAGTACAGCATGGGGGAAAACCCGGACTGGATTTTGGCCAGAGTACAGAATGGGGAAAAATGCAGACTGGATTTTGGCCGGAGTATGGAATGGGGGAAAACCTGGACTGGATTTTTCCAGAGATTGGATTTCAAAAAAAAAAAAAAAGAGGGTTGGACTTGATGATCTCAGAAGTCCTTTCCAATCCAGCTGATTCTATGATTCTATGATCATAGAGATTAAAATGGAGTTCAGTATTTTATGGAAAAAAAATCAGCAAACTATATAAGAAATTAAATCTCCTTCTCTTAATGCTATTAAAAAAGTCTAATTATGTTGTTGACTACCTTGAACTGAAAAATCTCTTAATTTAACTTTGCTGTGCTTTTTCTTCACTGGTACTTCTTGACAATGATAGCAAGGATCTTCTATAGGAAAAAAATTACAATTTCGCTCTGCTTTCTTATCTTGTATATAAACTGCATTTGCAACATTTGATACTCTGGTCACCAGAGGAAACAACCCTTCTTTCTGCACTGAAGTGGAGATTTAAAGTAACAAATGCAGATGTAAGACAGGATTTTTGTCTGACTGAAGTGGTGGAGGGCTTACCCAACAAGGGAAGACCCAATTTGCTGGCCAGACCAGTAACTGCAAGGTTAGTTTGACAAAGGAGCAAATTGCTGTCTTGATACCGTGCCCAGACCAGTGTGCTCTAACTGCAGTGTTATTCCAAACACTGGCAACCTGGAGACCTTGCCAAGAAGGCTGAAATCTCTTCTCACCTTAGAAAGCATTATCTACACTTAGTAACTCACACACAGCCCAGTGGAGGCCTGAATTGACAGGTTATGTACATTAAACCCACAGAGCCTGCACTTGAAGGAGCAGAGACCCTGTCCAGTAACATAAGGCACAAGGAGTCCTGGAACTGACCAGAGGGCAGTGCCTCCAAGAGGCAGCTGGGATGACTTACCGAGAGGAAAGCGTGGACTATATCAGCCTTAATGGAGCTTAGTGGTTTGTCCTTAATGACCACAAAAATCTGTTCTTCTTTCTCCAAGTTGATGAAGTTACCGAACCAGGATTTTTTGGCAAGCCTGATGTGATGAAAAGAAAGAGATGGTTTAGAGTACTGAGTACTATTTCTTAAACACCCCTAGCTGGAAAAAGAATTAAAAAATACACAAGAAAGTTTTGATAACACTCCAGATTTGATGTTATTGTTAATAGTAAGTGGAAAATAGTGTCAGAGAACATCTAGAACAACGTTTCACTTAGTGAAAACTGGTAAAATGACAGACCACACAGTCTTAGTCTGGCAGCAACAATGAAAAATCAGGAGCAACAGTAACTCTTTTGACTGAGCCAATACACCGATTAATACTGCATATATAAAGCCCATATAAGCCAGGGGACACATTTCTGGTTTGTCTCCAGGGAACTATTCATTTCATGTGACAATATGCAGATCCTGGCAACACAGAGATTTAAGTTCCTTCCCACTCAATTTCAACTCCTTTGGTGTTATAGGAGTTAAAAAGTTCCTTTTCTAAAGGTGTCCTGTTGGGCTGATGGTACAATCACAAAATCTTACTTTTTAAAGCAAGCTGTAGATTTTACCAGACCTCCAATCTGTCAGTGAGTGAAATCCACTCCCACACAGAGGGTCAGGACAAAGACTGTCCCATTCATTAGTCTAGTTCAGGGTGTCTATATAATGAGTGAACTCTGGTCATCCTACAAAGGAATGAAATTTCAGTACTAAGAAAGAAGATGCCAACACCATGCAAAACAGGTTTTTTGCCATGTCAGGCTTTCCACTGACAGCAGTCCAACTTCACAGTTTCTTTCAGCATCAGGTAGTGGTTTCACCATAAAATGAAATTGTTCTGTTTTTTCACACTGATCGTATCAGTAAATGTTTGATTTTGCTTATTGTTTTACCAGTCCACTTTGTTGACATTACCTTTTAAGTTAAACAGGCTAAAGGAAGAATTCAGGGACATAACTTTTAATGGGAGACACTACCGAGAACTTGAAGGTAGCATCTCTGACAGGTGTGGTTTTGGTGGGAGAGAAGATGCTGTTAGCCATGAGACACAGCCAAAGAATTGCTAGACCAAACTAAACCCAGGGAAAATTCCACTTCCATCAGCCATATTCTAGTAGGGAAGAATTTGGCATGAATGTGTTAGAAATTAAAAGACCTGTCACTAAGAGACTGCCTTTCTTTTCCTCTACAGCATAATTTATAATGCCAAGTCTGGTTTGAAGTATGGCACAGTTTTCACTCATTTTGGTGGACATTCACCACTGAGTGGAAGAAGACAATCTCTCCAGACAAGGAGAACCATCTGCAGAAGGGATTACTATACATCAGTTTTACAGCAAAGCAATGAACAGCTGGAGTGAGTTATTAGTAGACTCACTTTCTGTGGCAAAGGCTCAGACTGAGGCAGAACAAGGATGGGCAGAGACTAGGAGAGAGAGGAGCAAACTAAGAAACTAATTTGAAGTCTAGGCCTTCAGGATAAAGAACAAAGCTTGACCTCAGTATTGTCCAGCAATTTGCACTCATTCCCCATTCCAGAGTGCTCCATGAATAAGTCAGCTCACAGCCCATTTAATGCATGCAGTAGAAAGACCACAACTGGAAGACCACTCACTCAGCTGGGCAAATAATTATTTGCTTCGTTTACTGTCGGCATCCAAAAATAAGAGTACAGAAAGATTCACTTGCAGTTTGGTAAACCAGTGCCCCCCACTCAATTAAAGTGGGCTGGAAAACTGTCACTCCCTAAAATATTCATAGGCAGCTGTAACTAAGCCAGTGAGCCAGAGATTAGCATAGGGAGCAGTAAAGAGAAAGGGCCTCTCATTTAAATGGTCGTTAAGGAGCCAGGGTTAGAGTGTGAAAGAAAATTACATACTAATTAGCTCATGTGTCTCACACACACCATAACAACTCTGCAAGCCCCTGGAGAGCTGGGGCAATAGCTCCCCGCATGTAAAGGGTCTATGCTCATTAGTAAATTAGCACCTGGTTATCTATCTAAAACGGCTGGTTGTCTTAGGCTTGGATGTATCATTATCTGAACCAGGGCTGGCGATACAGACTCCGGGGCCCAGTGGAAGCATGGGCCTGGAAAAGTGTGCATATTTAATTGCAGATCTGCCATGTTAAAATATGGCTTTTCATTTCTGTATTGTCATTAATGGTTTTGTCGGCCCTTCATTTATAGGTCTCTTAACAAGCCCAGGTAAGAAGGGGCCCAGAACATAGGGTGGTTTTTTCCAGTTCAGCATGGTCTGGAGTCTCCAGAATCCAGCTGGGCTCTTTTCCTCGGCAAGGTTATCACCCGTAATACTAACTCTGGATGACTCATTGATAGCCTGGGCTATGCTCCAGCTTGTAAATCACTGGAATTCACTAAATAATTTTGCTGGTGTCGCATAAGATGGAGTAGATGCCAGTGGCCTCTCCTGTTTCTGTAATGAACAGAATCAAGACATAGCACACAGGCCCTGGCTTCTACCCCTGAAACTGGCAGAACTAGTTGTACTCGTACACCTGGGGAATAGGCCCACTGAAGAAGAAGGGACAGCTTTGGAGTAAAATGACACAATAAAGGTTTTTCTCCTCTTAAAGAGCATTAAGTGCTACTAACTTGGGTTAAAATGTGTATGAATCAATGATCTTCAGCATGCTGAATGAGATGATCTAGCATCTCACGAGATCAGGCTGTAAGCAGTACAAAATGTACTTAAAATAAAGAATCTTCTCTTATCATGGTAAACCTCTTAAAGGGGGAATGAGATAGGAGATATGTGGGGGAGGTTGGGTATGCAGATTACACTAGGGAATCTAATCAGGTGCCCAGTTGATGAAAAAGCAAAGAAATTAGCATGTGAATGGAAGCTGGTGCTTTATTACTTCACACTGAATTTCTCACTGCCATAATGTTGTTTCTTTTCCTACTTTTGGAGTGTCTTGACTACATTGCCTTCTGGAGAGCCTCACTGTGTTCCCTCTCTATCCCTGAGCTCATGGATCTGTAACCTCCAGAGGTTTACCTGCTTGGCATAAATAACAGTATTTCTACTTAAGCAAATGGAGCTTTGCAGGTTTAAAGCAGATGGAGCTAAGTCTCTTTAAATGTCATCCCGAACACATTTTCTAGGACTTTTTCACATGAGAAAGAACAGCATTACCCAGACATGTCAAAGTGTATTACCTAATCATCAGGTTTGTTAAACGAATGGCAGTCATTGCTGTACCAGACAGAGCAAGGACACGTATTTATCACTCAAACCATGAGGTAAATACAGCTCTTGATAAGGGTATCTTATTTCTTACAGAAAGAAAGAAAATACTAGAAAAAATAAGACATGAGAAAGTGGACAGTGAGCAACAGACATCTATTGTTAAAATATAATCCAGTTCATTATTTTTTATGACTTGTGCAGCCCAATTGAACTCATTAATTTGGCAATTACACAGAAAATGAAAAAAGGGCCTTAGGCTTTGACTTGCATCCAAACTGCCTCAAATGACAGGCACTTCTCTACACCAGCTTTTAAAGAGTGAGTGGGAAGCAGAGAGGGCAATAAATTAACAGGAAAACTTCCAACAACTTACATACAATGAAGAAGAGAAATTTAATTCTAAAAGGTTTTCTGTTTTAATGGTCTTAAAAACATGTGAGATGAGAGTATTGTATATTTTTTTCATAATGATGTGCTAATTTTATGAAATTCTCTCATGCCTCTCTATTAGTAAATGCTCGAAAGTGTTGAAAACGCAATATATTCAATTCTTCTTCCTGGATTTCTGTTACTAACCTTTACTAATCCCTATTTCTCCCTCTTCTTAAGTCTTTATCTTTCTCCATTATGCAGTACTGCACATAGAGTGCACATTTTACACCAGATAAATACCAAGTCCGGGGAAAGTTGTTAAGACAATACCACAGTCACCAATTACAAAACTTTGTGCCCAAAATTTTCATCCAAGACTCATGAATATTTCATACAAGCATCTTAACAAGAGGCCAAATTGCCTTGGTTGGCAGGGTAAGTCTATGGGCATTGGGTGCACAAACACAAGCTGTGAAAATAAAAAGGAATAATTTGGCATCTGTTGCATATTAGGAAGTGTTTGGAGCAGCACTCTGGCAGGGACTTCCAAACCTGCCATGCAGTGACGCACATTTGTGCAGTGAAATGGCTGAAATGTACGTTGACTTTCAGGAATGAGTCTGGTGAATACGAAATAGCTTCTCCATGTCCCAGTGCTGCTGCCTAGAATTAACACTGCGTTTATTGCAGCCAAAGATTCCTCTGAATTATCTTAGCAGAGGCTTCTGCATGTTATCCTGAGGATGCACTCTCCTGTACTAAAAGGAAGACTATTTAGTGCATAGTTAGTGCCAGTATAAGCCACAGATTAGCCTCTCCACACCTGAAGAGTGATCTATTTGACAAGCAGATGAAAAAAAAGAGAAGGAACATGTTACAAACCCAGCAAATTCAGCAAGCCGTGAGAAAATGAGGTGGTTACTGGGAGACTGTTTCATCACCTGTTGACCCCCAGTGCCATTTCTGAAGTATAGATTTTATCCAGGGTCCTTACCAGAAGAATCATTTAACATCTCTACCCCACCCACAGGAGAACAGGTTACAGATACTGATCTAGTACAGAAATATGTCAGCCTATGACACTGAGACAAGGAAATGACATTGGTATGTGGTAGAAAAAAAAAGGTAGTGTACTGGCAAATTACTTACTCTGGGGATGATTCTGGGGTTAAATTAGACATCTCCTCTGGTGTAGGTACTGCCCATGCACATACAGACGAAGAGAGGGAAGGAGAAAAGAAATTGATGATTCAGTACACCTTTCATTTTCTGCTTGTATACCAATGAAACAACGCTGGCATTGCACCCTCTTGCATTTGCCCACTGCCTCTGCAGACTGGTTCTGACATCTGAACACTGGTCATATGTCTCTAGATCACTGCATCTAATCAAGTGCTGCATTTCAAGGCTCACTTCACCCTTCCTTAAATCATTATGCAATCTTGCACTGGCTTCAGACCCAAACACACTGCTGCAATTCTCTGCAGTTCTCTGACCATCTCAGAGACAATCTCACTGACCATCACAGCTAACTATTTCATGGCTGTGAGCTTCCTTTACGATGGGATCACATCCCAGTACCCTGCAAAACCACATAGTGTTGGGATGTGGTCCCAAGGATAATGCATGTGGCTTCGGGTGCTCTTTGCCTGAATAGAGAAAGCCACCTGGAACTTGAGGAAGGAAATTTTGCACATCTCAACACTCTAGAGACTTTGAAAACTGAAGCAGGCCAGCAGATATGAAGACACTGATTGTATTAGAGAGATTTTTACATCAATTACCAAAGGCAGTAAAAGAAGCATTAACCAAGATCAAAAAAGCTTTGCTTCAGAAGGACAATTTTAGCCTACTGCCACTGGCTGTCTTTTTTTCAGCAGAAGGCTCAGCCTGTGGCTGTGGAGAGGCAGCAGAGCACAGCCACAGGGGAAATGGCAGAGCTCTAAGTTCACTTACAAAACAAGTGAAGAATGTGAAGATAAATTATTCTTGTGGTCTAAGAGCCACAACAGAGATAGTACGAGCTCTATGCATGGAGTATGAAGAGGGCTCAGGAGATGCTCTTGGAGCAGGTGCAATGGCATGACAGAGCCTGCTCACATGGGGATTAGGGCTTGGCTGATGCTATCACTCTCACTTTCATATCAATACTCAGTCCTTGGTAGATGGAATTTGTAGAGCCGGACAGGTATCAACTTCCTGACGAACAGCTGCCCAAATCAGAACCACCTGTATGTTTGGGTGGATACTCACCTTGTAATTTCCGACGATGGAAGCGAGGAGACCCCAGGAAACTATTCTTGATGGAGTTGAGTCGTGTCCTCCATGGCATTCCTCCAATGCTGGGGCTGGATGGTGGTGTTGGGTTGGGTGTGCCTGCTGGGCTCTCCTTTGGCGTATGAACAGGTGTCCCCTTGGGGGTAGGGAGGGGACTTCCCCTTGGAGAGGGGTGAGGGGTGACCTGTATGATGGGGATAGATTTGGTGCTTGGGTCAGTACTAGAAGGGAGCAATCTAACAGGAGACATAGGGTTGGTCTGTACTTTAGGAACAGCCAGCTGTGGGTTAAAGCCGGCAGCAGGCGAGCGGCCCTGAGCATTCTGCACAGGGTTGTTCTGGGAAGAGGGGGCGCTGGCATTGCTGGTAGGGAGTGGGTTGGATTTAGTAGACTGGAGTGGTTTTTCAGCCAATTTGCTCTTGGATGGCAAAGTCTGCGTCTTTGGGTTGGGCTGAAGTGCTGGCTTTGGTTGGAGTACATGTCCAGGCCTGGAGGCGTTCCTACAAGCATCAGGGTCCAAGGAGACTTGGGGTCGGGGAGAGAAAGGGAGGTCGGAGGTCTGAGGGGGGATGAAGAACTTTCTGATAGGCTACGAGACAGACGCAGAGTGTCCATGCACATCAAAAACAGTGAAATACGCATAGAGCGGGCGAGCAGAGAAAGGAAAGTCAGAATAAAATCCATCCGAGTCACAAAGATGCACCATGTCACAAGGAGACACAGGAGATGGAGGTGAAGGGGTAGTGGGGGGAGGGATTTTGCAAAGAAACGAAAACAAACAAACAAACAAAAAACAAAAAAAAGACATGCAGTTAGCTGGGAACACAGCATAATCAACAACAGCAGCAGCGGCAGCAGCAAGAACAACAGTGTCATAACAGGCTTCATCATATTAACCAACCACGTGTCAGCAAAGGAAAACAACAGAAAGAAAAGTACAACAAAGGAACAGTAAAATAAAATAAATTAAAAAATAAAAAAAGAAAGTAACTAAGAAAAAAGAAGAGAGAAATGCCATCTCTCTGGGATTGTTCTGATTGCCCTGCAGTGTGAAAAGCACGATGCTGTAGGGAGGTGAGGAAGGGGAAGAAGAACCACTCAAGCCACAGACAAACTGAGATGTGCCAAGAATGGGACCACCTCTTTCAGCTCCATGTGCCCATGTGCAAACCCAGTAGAGAGATGAAACTCAGAACAGGTGTGTGATACATAGGGAGTGGCAGGTGATACACAGAGTTACTGCACACACCAGTCAGAACCTCTTTCCTTCCTCTTTACCCCTGACTGGCTAATGCACACCCGAGTTGCAGCCACCCATTGCAGAAAGAGGAGGAAAAGGGAGAGTAATGCCACCTGGGCATCCACTCTCCTCTCCTGACCTGGAAGGTTAAATTTCTCCAGCATTCATTTGGAGGCTTCAGAGCATGAAACACCACGAGAAAAATTATGAACTCAGATTGGTGTTCGATTTGTAAACTGCTACAGCAAAAACATCAGTGAGGCCTAGCAAATTTATTTATCTGGGAAGAGATGATATTTTCCATCAGACTTTATGCTTCTCCTGCAACATCCCTCATCGCATCGAAGGACAGCCTGATAATTGGAATTTCTGTCATAAAGTCTCAGCAATATTTGCCATTAAGTCTCAAGTCTAAGAAGAGGGTGAGGTGAGCTATTGTTTTGTAAGACACAGTTTAAAAAGAAAAAGACAAGCAAAGTTCATAATCCATCACAGAGTTATCAAAATGAGATTATGATTTTTTTTTCCGAAACAAGAATATTTACACAAATTAAGAGGCATTTTGGGAAACCATTCATACTTTGACAGCAAACAGCAATAGACAGACTTGGAAGGGTAGAAGCCTTTTAAAGGGATATTAACAAGCTAAAAATCACATTTAAAATAAAACAAATGTCCTTACAAAACACTGCTGTTAACACCTTAGATTACAAGTACTGGAAAAATTGTAAAAACAGAAATTGCTATTCGAGATATTTAGCTTTGGTCTACACTTAGATTATGATTTCTATAAATTATTACCTATGAAAAATGATATATCACCATTATTATTATCCATTCTTAACACCTAAAAGCTGCAATCAAGCACTGTCCAGACATAACATGTACATGTATGTACATGTAACCATGCCTCAAATTTCAGTCCCATGTAAGCACACTTACTAGGGAGTTTACTTCCTGGGTTTGATGAATTAGCAAAATGTTGCCATACTTTAAAAATTGCAGAAATTTATTTAAAGCTTCATTCCTGAAATTGTTTGCATTAAAGCTTTGTAATTACTTCAGAGAACTTAAGAGTTAGGCCACCAAAATTAAAAAAAAAATCACTACATCAAAACATTTGTATTATTATTAGGATTGTAAAGCTAAACTAAAATCTGCTGTGTTGGTAAATTCTGACTGCTGCTGGGAAATGATGGGGAAAAGATGAGGAAAGTGGTTAATCTGTGGAAGTCACTACCAGCACCTGAATATTAAACATTTGCAAATGACACCAATGGATAAAAGTCAAAGACTGTTGATTGCAAATGTCTCCTTGCAATTTTTGTATCTTATGTGTGTGATGGTTTGAGAAACAAATATGAAAGAAACAAAAGTCAAATTCAACTCCCACTTGAGCCATTAGGAATCTGAAGAGGCACCCTTAATTACCACATTCTTAATAATGAAATGAAGAACAAGATTACGTCTCTATTTCAGCTGGTGCCATGGGGAACACCATTAACAAGATCTTGTGAAATATGAGAACTTTTAGTTGCTGTTGAATTCAATTCCTCATAGAACTGAACCTAAGCACTGCATAAAATGAAATATGTATTTGCTTTTTAAAGTATGTTCTCTTTCAATAATCTAAGGTGCTATTAGATGCATAGGCAAGGACTTTTAAAAAAATATTATTTTTATTCCATTATTTCCTTTTAAGCCTCAAATTTTACCTGCCTTAATATATCATTATGATCTGCTGAAAATGACATTTGGTTGCTAAATCCCTTTGAAGACTACTTAATCAACTGCCTATTAAGTGATAATGGTAAGATACAGCAACTATGGAACAGATCTTGTCAACCCTATTCTTTGATGTAGTCCTAATGAGATGTCAGTAATTGAACCCAAGAGATCAACTGATGACATCAGGATTTAGGTTTGCTGCACTAGATGCTTATTTTGTGCACAAAACTGTTTCTGTGCTCTTTTTCAGGACATTTTGCAGTGGCATAAAAGTCCTCAGACCTCTGCTTGCTTCCACTGACAACCAGGAGCCCCAGTGCAGAAAGAAAGAAATGGATCTTCACTGGTTCCTAGCACTTCAAAGGTACAGAGGAGACCACAAATACATTTATGCCAGTTGCAAAACAGGATAACAATTGACAGGAACCTAGAATATCTTTCAGAAAACAGTTCAATCAAGCAAGGTGTTGGAAGCTTTACTAGTCTATAAACTTACACCTGACAGTGTGTCTTCATTCATAAGAATTACACAGAATCTTCCTGGGGAATTATAATTTCAAATACCTGGAATACTGATGTTATCTTCCTATAACTAAGAGTAGATCCATAGGTGTATCTGTACCCTAACACATGGAATATATCCATTTCCAATTGCGGATAGCATCTTCTCATGAAGTCATGAAAAGTATGTAGAAACCCTCCAAAGACTCTGGGCCAGACAATCAGGCAACATGGATTGCCACAGCCCTACAGACTCCTTGATGAGGTCTAGACTTTTGTAAGCACTGCAGTCTTAAAGACGTTGTCAGGCACTAGAGATACTCACTTTAATCCCTAAAGAAGTTAACAAGAAGATGGAGGCCCCTGTCATTGCACTTAGAAACTGTAAACTTTGCAACACACGTGCTGTGAGGCGTGTGTTGTACTAGCTAAGTATCAGTAAGTACCAGTATTTAGTTGACCCTATGATTAAAAAGGGCATGTGAAGGTACCTTATTTATAGGGGTTTGAATGTTCTTTACTCATCCTAGTCAGTCAACTTCTTACTTTCCTTTTGAATTTGCTAGCCCTCAAATTTATATAATTTATTTTCTCTGACTTTCTAATACAAGCTATTCTGAGGCAAATAGAAGACAACCAGCATGGTTTGGTGCTCTACTGAGACCTAATTGAAGACAGCTGTGAAATGATTCCTGATTACTCGGTCTGAAGCCACACTGTATGCAGACCTCAGCTGGATATGGCAGTGTTTAGTCATAGCAATGGTATTCTGTGTCCTTATGAGACTGAAAAAGGGCAAGGGCACAGTGAGATCCCTGCTAACAGTGCAGGGAACATGTATGAGAAATTCTCTGCTTGCATTTGTAAATAACATTTCCCTCACCATCCATGAAAATTTATAAGCTGCCAAGGAAAAACAAAACATCCCAGCTAAGAGCCACAGCTCTGGAGCAACAGATGCAGAAAGCATCAAGCATGTGTGAGTGAATTGGACCAACAGATCTTGAAGCAGCACCACTTACCCTTGGACTGCTGAGAGGACTGGTGGAGAGCCCAGATGATGCTCCGCTGATTGACCGAGACCTGAATGGACACAATAAGGAAAACATCTCTCAGAAAACTTGGACAAGTAATAACCCTGATCACCAGCCACCACAGGCACAGGCATGAAGTGAGGAGGAGGAGGGAGGCTGTCACTGGAAAAGCACACGACTCTTTCCTTTTCCTTCCTTTCACTACTGTCACATTTTTCAGTTGTCCCCCCCCAAAATCAAAGAAATGTTGTTGCTCAGGGAGAATACTATTAATCCCTTTTGATTAAGGCAATTGCTAATTTCATTTTGGACATCAAGCGCATGGAAGCTACTACATCTGACCTGTGCAAGTTGAACTGCTGAATTCAAAAGGATGGTGAAGACATTCATATTGGTGCTGAGAATTCTGTTTTGCACAGACCCAGTGATCACAGAATGAGACTTTCTCTGTCACGAGCAACATGGAAAAGCACCGTGTTCACAAGACACAAAGGAAGGGGATTATTTCAGATAATAATTAAAAAACAAGTCTCCTTGACCCAAGCACACAATCATTTTTTATGTGATGACTTCCCACTGAAATCAAAGATCACATTGGCTTAACCCTTTCCAGCTTCTCACTGATGGTTTTCACATTTTTTCTCTCCAGCAAGATTTCTTGCTGCTGCATTAAACAAGCCAGGCCTTCTCAATGGATAATCAGTTCTGCTTTTGTTGATGACTTTACTAATATCAAGATAACAGCTCAAGTGCCCTCAAAAAGAGGCCAGTCAAGGAACAGTAAACTGCCCTATTTGCTGACAAGGTCACCTATACTGTAATGCTCTTATGCTCTCCAGCAAAGGCCACCAATGAAAAATGTCAGCTACTGACAATAAAATGTGCAAATGTGCTATGCTAAACATGGTGAAAGAGCAGACAGGCCAAATTGCACAAACATTTCAGCAGAAGTTTCTAGGAGGAGGGCTGCCCAGCAAAAAAACCCCACACCCTGTGTGTGACTGTACATGAGTGAGCCCCAGAGGCGGCTGCTTTCTATCCTTTTTAAACACAAAGTTGAAGACTGAAACATCTTATAGGAAAGGACTTGGCTAAGAACCTAGTTGTTCAACAACCACCATGCAACAATATGTCAATACAGCAAAACTAACAATGTTTCACGTATAGTAAGAGTCATGAAAGCAACTACTTGCCTTCAGGTAGCAAACATGAAAAGGTGAAATTCCTGTATATGCTTGGAAAATGGAGTGCATGGGTATATGTGTATACATATGTGTCTGTGTGTGTACACATGTATATATTAAAAATTTATATAGGTCAGATAGCTGATGTCGGCTTATACATAAAAGAAATTTAGATCATAAACTATGTCAGTTTACTCTCCTCTGCTGTAGAATAAAACAAAAACATCGGTTTCTCAAATGGTCTCCCGACATATATTGCTAAAAATATTTGAGCAGAATTCTTAAAAAAATCTGTGAACGGCAAAAGAGGAAGTATTTCCAAGGAAAGAATAAGCTACAACTGAACACAATGGCATGTTCTGTTTTCTCTATTTGTATCATCTGCAGAAACTACTCACTGATGGTTTTCTTTGTACCTCATTGCAGTTTGTTCATCACAGTAAGTAGGTGAAATGCAGAACCCCAGTCTCGGCCAGATTAAATCTACATTGGCACCATGAAAATCTCAGGCACTCATTCTACGGAGGAACTCCCCACTTAAGTTTCTCTTTGCACCCTGCTGCACTCTGCCCATCACAGTGCAACAGTAAGAAACTAGAAGCTCACTCTTGGCATTCTCTTGTACTTGATTAAACCTAAATTTTCACCATCATGATCTGGGGCACTCATAAAGGTTTATACAAAATAATTTTAGGGGAAGAACCATCTGCTCCACTTTTGAAAGGTTACTTTATGTGCCTTTCCCCTAACTGAAGTAGCTGACTGCACCACAGATGTGTTGTGCAGATGGGGAGTAAATTAGTTAAAAATCTTCCTTGCATGAATCATCAGGAAAAACTTCTTCCAAACCATAAATTACAAGAGGATCCTATAGATTATCTTGGACAAATGTGGAAGGCATTCAGGTGCCCAGAAATCAGTTAAGCACCAACTTAGAGTTAAAGGAGGTGTTCCCACCAACTCTTAATTATGGTGGGAAAGTCCTCTCTGACACTCACCTGAATTCCGGGACACTCGATTAAAAGTTCCAATCTGCTATTTCCTTTTTGCAATCAGGTGTTTCCAACAGTCCTGAATTCTCCCTTCCCAACCCTATTATCTCCTATTTTTTTTTTACAAAAATGATCACACACATGGAGGGCAAAATATGGCAGGCCCCACCTCCCAATTCTCAGTTTCTTAGCAATATTTGAAAAATTGTTGTTGTGTACTGTGTTTTCATCCAGCCTAGGAGCCTGAGGCAGGGGACATAAGAGAGAGTTAGTATGAAATCCTCTTGGAAATGCATTCAGTATCCATACGCCTGCTTTATTTCTGCTGCTGATTTACATGCAAAATAAGTAAGAAGTAAAGTAGGCCCTATAGCAAGTTTCAGTTTGTCCACACTGGAAATTGCATATAGGAGCAGTCAAAAGATTTTAAAGAAACCTCTGTTAATTTTAAATGTTGAGGTGAAAAGAGCTCTACATTTTCAAAACTTTTCCTCTCTTACCAGAAAGTGTTGCTATGGGATATGACACCCAGACTGAGGAGATCTTCCTTGCATCCTTTTCAATTTAACATAATGTACCTTTATAAATGGGACATAGTTTCCAAGCTGACTATAAGAACTCAGTACCCTGGCCTACTGTGTGGTTCTATACTCCAGTACAAAAATGCTAACAGGCAAAAATAACAGATTTGTCCCTCTCATCAAGATTACCTTGGCTGAGCAATGCTATAATTCAGTTTGTAAAAAAAACAACCACATGCACTGCTCCTGTATCTCGGAGTCAGGTGGACAGAACTGGGATAGGGCCAAAAGAAAGTAATGAAAACGTTGCATTATGCTGAAATGCTGTAGCAAAAGAACAGAGAATTTAAATTTTTATCCCTCTCACAAGAAAATGAAAGTTTGAGGCCCTACCAGCAGCACATTAGTATGGCAGACTCTTATGTCTCATGTGTAGAAAGAGGAAAAAAATATGACATTACCTTATCTCCATGGCTATGAACTAAATTCATTCAGTGGGAAGTATCTGTTAGTGAATAACCTCCTAAGAGTCTTTAGAGGCATTAAATGTTACTGGAATTATTAAATTTATAATTATTCCAATAACTTAATACTAAATGCAACCATCTTGGAAACTATGAACATTTTGTATGACTCATTTTGCTCTGTGTTTTGCATTGCCGTATGCCTGCACACTAACTCAATGGAAGTCATCAAAACATTGCTGAAAATACAAGCAGAAGAATCAGTGCAGTTGCTCAGACAAAGAGCATTCCTTCAAACACAACTGCCACATTTAGAGACTCAAGGAGAGACTCTTTGGTCCCTTCCGTGGGAGCAAGTGACACAGTTGTTTTTCCAAGCCTGGAGGGAGGAATTAAAGAAAAACCATAAGGGAGCTAGACCCAAGGTTTAGGAGGGGGAAGATGCAGAGGGCACTATAAACATAAGGTGGACACTGAGACCATTGCAGGCTATTCCTCTCATTCCGCAGACTGACAATAATCTGGAGATGTCTGAGCTATGAAAGAGAGAGGCAAAGGACTGAAACAAAATGTGCATACGTGAGCTGTAGTTTGTAGCTGTGACGATTTTATACCTTATTCAATCTATTTGATACTTCAAAGCATCGAAGTTAAAAGGTCCTTCATTTTAAAGCATTTTTTTACTCATTTTAGCCAGCTGCTGTCAAAGAGGAAGCTGTGCTAGACCCAATTCATGTCAGATCAGTGTTCTCTTACTGGCGAAACTGAGGGGCTGGAATCCAGTTTCCAGCTGGTTTCAGAGAACTGCAGAATTTCTTGAGAGCAGTAAGAGGGCTGAAGCCTGACACTGCTGAGGTGTAGACGGAGAAAAACACAAGACAGAATAACTGCAGCTGACCTGGTAACCGTACTACACATAGAGCACATGCACAGAGCATCTCTACATAGCCCTTCTCTCAGATTAGTTTTCAAGTGCTTTAGATGGTGCATCTGCTCGTACACACCAGCAGAGCATAAAGGTTTTGCAGCCACATTTAGGTCGGATTCGGCATTTGTTTCTTCTTCGATAACCATTTCACAGAACTTTTTCTTGCAATCAAAGGGGAGTTTGGTGCCTTGTTGCAGTCCCAGCAGAACTTGCTTTCATAACACAGTTTTACCAGGATGCTGAATACAGCCTCTTAGCTGGTCAAGCTGGAGCCATGCTTCCAAGAAGGGGAGCCAGTGGCATGCATGCAGCATGCAGTAATGCATCAGAATTGTGTCCCTGGGTGAAATGCCTTAGAAATTTTGAATTAGTTTCCATGTGTAGTTTTGAAACTCATTTCAAAAAATATCCAGCCATCCTCTTATTTGCTTCAAGCATAAACTGGGTGGAATTTGATACTCCTCTTTCCTTCCTTACTCAAACCCCCAAAAAACTAAACTGAATTTCAGGGTATGAGACCCCTGAAATTGACCTGAATTAATATGCAATAAGTGTGTTAAATTTCACCACTATTACTCTTGGGAGTCTAAAAGATACAAACTGTGCTTCCTTACTCCCTGATTTAGGGAATATGAATAGAATACCTTTGTTGTTTCACTGCGTTACAATCTCAAATGTGCACATAATACTGTAACAGCTCTTACTTGGAATACTTATGCTTAAGTCAGAAGGTCTGCTCATGGTAATGACTGCTTGTAAGATGAAGCCTTACAAAGAGTACAGAGAAAGGAGCGCAGGTGTTGGTAACACACACTTTGTCCTTTCAGTGCATACAGAGGGTGATGCTGAACAGCACCACCCTCCTTAATTGGCCAGTTATACTAGAGTTCCATTTATAAATGGTTTAGAAAGAATTAATAAATAGTAAAGCACACTACAAACATGAGAAGTAAATGTTAC